CTGTCCTAGATTCCCTGCGTTTCCAATTCCCATCTGTACCGCTGTGCATCATCTGGTCTTACCAGGTCTGCAAGGCAAAATTGGGGTCCTGGTAGTTGGGGGGAGCTTCCATTTCTTATCTGTACCAGTGCACATCCTCTGGTCTAGCCAGATTTGTAAGGTAGAATTGGGATCATGATAGTCGGGGGTGAGGGAAGCATTAAAGAACTACGGGAAGGTTGTGTGTCTTCAGTTCTATACTGCACCCTGACTGGCTCATCTCCTTCCCGCAATCCTTCTGTAAGGGGATGTATAGTTGCCTAGAGATGGGTTTTGGGCTCTGCACTCTATCTCATTCACAATGATATGGTTTTTTGTTCTTTGATGCCTGATCCCTTCAACACTTCATAGTCACACATGCTGGTGTGTTTCTTCCATGTGGGCTTTTTTGCTTCTCAGCCAGATGGCTACTTGTTTATCTTCAACCCTTTAAGACCCCAGACACTCTATCTTTTGATAGCCAGGCACCATTAGCTTTCTTCACCATATTTGCTTATGCATTTTCCTCAGCAATTGTGTTGGGAAGGTGAGCATCATGGAATGACAGTTTAATAGAACAAAGTATTCGTGCATTAAAGGAGTACTTGAGTAGAGGCCCAATGTCCACCTGTTACCTTAATACTAAACCTATAAATATATGCATATAGATCTATTTCCCCATCATCAAATATATTTACATATACACGTGCCTGTATTTAGACCGTTCTAAATGCCTTTTGCCTCCTAGTTCCTTTCTTTATTTCCTTTTATTTTCCTCTTGTCCCACTATCATGTTCAGCTTTCATTGGGGTTTCAGTAATTCTTCTCAGTTACACTGCTCTTAATCAAGCCCTGCCAGGCCTCCTACACCCTCTCACCATCAATTTTAGATCGATTGTTGTTCCCTGATCCCTGGGGGTTGTTAACAGCCACTTCCTCCCCCCGACCCCCCCTCTCCCATGTACCCCCAGGCCGTCAATTTGTTTTCTCCTCCAGATTGTTTATCCCCTGTATTTTTTCTTGAAAAAGATCACTTTATTGGGGGCTCTTACAGCACCTATAACAATCCATATACCAACTGTATCAAGCATATTTGTACATATGTTGCCATCATTATTTCCTAAACATTTACATTTTATTTGAGCCCTTTGTCCTAGAAGAGTGGTTGAGTGGCAGGTAATATAATTTGTATTCAAATTCTTTGTCTGTGACTCCATAGACAGTGCTAGGTTCTAGAAATTAATTTCAACATAATTTGGTAAACTCTGACAATGGTGAAAACTGAGGAAAGTCACTTATCACACCTAGAAGTAGTATGGAGACTGTTAAGCATGTTTCTGAAGAAATAAAAATTGTGAATGTACTTTCACATCAAAACCAAGAAAGCATCATTCTTGATAGCAACTGCTAGCTTTGCTTCATCAGTCTTATCATCAGAGTATGAAATAAGGAAAAATCACCTTTTAATTGATGCAGTAAGAATGGAGTCAAAGTACGGTGGGTTCAAAACTTTGCAACCAGTCTTGCAATCATAACAAAATGGTTTTCTTGAGTATAATTTGAAAAGTAAGCAAGCTTTTCTCTTTTGCTAAAAACGTATACATTTGTATGTTTTTCACTGAAAATACTTGCTAGCTCACGAAGCTTGCTGTAACCAAATGGAAGAAACATTAGAGAATGTTTGTGAAATAATTCCACAGCATTTTTAAATGTTTTTTAATAACCTCAACCCACACTCAAAGCAACTTACCTGCTTCACATTATATCCTGCTTTTGCACTCGTTTCGATGAACATGACATTGAGCTCTTTGGCTTTCCGCTCTCCCTCCTCAATTGACACTTGCCTGTAGAGAACGAATACACATTCTATTTTAGAAACAATACTGCAAAACCTATAAACAAAGTTCTGAAAATAATTTTTCTTGATATTGGTGACTACACAGCAAATCATGTTTAAAAGTTAATTTAGCTTCTTCTTCACCTGTCTACCCTCAAGCTTATTGCTTTCCCTTCCCACACACTTGCCCTTCCACCACTGAAGGATATCAAAGTCTACTTCTTTTAGTATGAAAAACCTTTTTCTTGATTTTTTTTCTTTTATAACAATGGTCGCATACAATATTTATCTTTTTGAGAATGATTAACTTCACTCAGCATCTCTTTCAATCCTTCCATTTCACAAAGCATTTCAGTTTTATCATTATCATGTTTGTAAGCCTTTTTTTAAAGTTGGGATCTAAAACATATCATTCCATATTTCAATCATGGCAAGTAGAATTATACAATCACTACCACAATCAGTTTCTAAACAATCTTTTTCTACATGGACTGCTTGACATCGTCTCCCTTTTACCCCACCTCCACCACTTCACTTACCCACCTTCCCCCAAACCCCTTATTCTACTTGCTTGCCCTATAGATTCATAAATTCTGGGTTTCATATGCCGAAAAAACAGAAAAGTATGTAACACAGCTTCAAGGGGGTGACCTCTACTGACATAACACTTCTGAGATGCACTCCAATACGAACAAACAAAAAATGATGAAAACAATACACCGAAAGTACAGAAAATGTTGGAAACCAGATCAGGTCCAGCCTGAATCACAGGGGGAATCTACAGTTTGAACAGTTCAGATTAAATTTATGCCTTGTAAGGCATCTTTTATTTATTTGCTGAGCTCATCCTTAAATTTTTTCATTTAAAAACTTTAAATAGGGGCTCAAGTGGAAAGTGGGTGTCGTAAGAATGATGAAGTCAACATATGTACTAAAGTGCTGGACACAGATGACGTATGTACAGATTGTGATGAGTTGTATGAGCCCCTAATAAAATGATTATTAAAAAAAAATTTAATAAAAGTAAGACAAAGAGGAAAAAAGAACAAAAACAAAAAAACTTTAAATAGCCTGCTTTGTTATTACTGGATCATAAACAATTACCCTTGTGATACAAAGTTTTATGTGAAGTTATTTTTATTGTTGTACAATGTGCTAATTTGTTACTATAAATGTACAGTGTATAAGTTATATGAATAAATTATGGAACCATCCTTATATGCTATTTAAATTTTTTATTGTGTAAAGAATGTTGTTTTAAATACCTTGTGCCCAATACTTGTACACTATGGACTATTTCTTTAGGTTGGATTTCCTGCAGCTCTAAAACTACAAATGAGTCAAAGACTTAGGTATTTTTAAACTTCTTGATACATAATAGAAGTATTTCTAATTATGGGGAATCTTGTGATGCATTGTAACTAGCGGTGTGCTTCAAAGTGTGTGCTCTTCATGTACAAGGCTATATTCCTAAGGTCTAACTGTCCCATGAAGGCACCCTGGTGCCATAGTGTGTTACACATTTAGCTGTTCCAACAGGAAAAAATGAGATTGTCTGCTCATAAAAATGAAATCTCAGAAACTCAGAGGCAGTTCTACTCTGTCCTATAGTGTCACTAAGAGTCGAATCGACTTGATTACAGTGAATTGGTATTTGTTTTGGTTTTGGTAACTGGACCCTAGGTATTCTATACATGTGTGTGTGTTTTCATTAAATGTATATAACTTGCCAACTGACAAACTCAGCTTCCTATAACACTCAGTAAACTAAAGTAATGGAACATAATTTCTACAAGTACCCACCATATTTATCCACTATTCCAACTCAATATATGCGCCCATATAGTATACCTCCACTTCAGTTAGTATAGAGCAGTGTATCCTAAAGTGAGTGATACTGTCCCCTGGGGGAATACTGGAACAATCTTTGGCTGCAAAATCAGAAACATATTCTTGCCTGGATTATGGGCCATAGTACAAAAATTTTTAATTGGCAGGCGGGTACTGAGTAATTATTCTTCTGAAAAGGAGTGGTAGGGCAAATAAATTTGGGAACCTACGTTAAAGAGAAACTACCTTTACTCCCAAACTCTACCTGTGTATCAAATTCCAATTCCAATTTCTTTTTTCCTAGATGATATTCTAGAAATGCATCCTTCACAAAGAGATGGGCACTCATTTACATAACTCTCTGTGAACATTTCACATTTACTTTAATCTTTCATTTTCTCTCTGTAATATATGTATGTATGTATACAAACACATTAAACAATGTTTTTTCACACATTATTTTTAGAATTTGAGAGTAAGTTGCCAACCTGCAGCCCTATGCCCTAAATACTCAAGCAGTGTGCATTCTATTAAAACCAAAACCAGAAATTAACATGGATATATTTTTATTAGAGTCTACACATTTTATTCAGGCTTTGACACTCATTCCAATAATGTTTTTTAAAGCAAATTAAATATTTTTTTTAAACAGAAACTTGCTCTCAACTATTCGGCACCCATATGAAGTGGGGGGGATGGAATGAAATGCTGGACATTATGATGGTGAATTTAAACAAATTACAGTTAATAATAACTGATTCTCAAATACTTTGTTTTTAGTCAGCAGAGCTGCTTTGATTTGGCACCCAAATATATCATAATCTCAATCGATTTTAATAATTTCCTTGTTTTATGGTCATGACAACATAAACCAGATATTTATCTCAGGTTTCAAAGTGGCTATTTCATAAGTAAGCCTGGTTCCTTTAGATAGAAATGGTATTTAAAGATGGCAATCTGAGCTCCTTACTCCTGGTTTAGGTATTTTCTGCTAACTGAGCTAAAAAAATATTAAAATTTTTAGTGCTAAAACATGTCATGAGGTAGGGGAAGAATATCATTAATTCATTCTTGCCTTACCAGGGTAACCGGTTTTCCTATCTTTGAAGTTAATTTTGCCTTTTTTGTTTATTTAACTATTTGCTAATTTCTTTTAATCCCTAAATCAGTGATTCTCATCCTGGGGCATTTTTGACCCTTACCACTCTTGCACATTGGTGATACTGAGAGAAATATAAGACTGTCATACCTTGGTGAGGCAGGGAAGGAGCCCAATTGCTAGAGGTCAGGGATGCTACTAAACATTCTGCAACATACAGAATAGACTCCCACAATTACATGGCCCCAAATTTCCAGTCATGTTGAAAATAAGACACAGGATTCCAAATGTTGGATGTTAGATAATGTATTGCGTAGGCCTCTTTATCTACAATCATTCCTATGGTGTTCTCATTCGGTTCCAATGGTTTTAAATATCATCTATAAACTGATGGCACCCATATTTATCCATGTAACCTAGACCTCTCTTCAGAACTCCAGACGTGTGTAACAAACTGCCTACCTGGCATCTTTACCTAGATATCGAATGTTCATTCTACACTTACCAAGGCCAAAATTGATACAAATAGGTATGTAGAAATATACTCCCTCAAACATGTATGCTCAATGCACACACTCCCATACGTATCTTGCTCACATTACATATCTACCTATGTATCCATGCATATATTACTGTTTGTTATTACTGTATTAATATGCTCTGAAGGTGCTGTCCGGTAAGCACTGAACTGATAATCATGAAGTTGGTGGTTCAAACCCACCAGTTGCTCTGCAGGAAAAAGATGAAGCTATCTACTCCCATAAAAGTTTACAGAGACAAAAACCATGCATAGGCCAATATGAGTCAGAATCTACTACATGGCATGGTGTCTGGTTTTGGTTTGATTATAATATATTAGCATGCTGTAATATAATATTAGCCATCGTTGTCTTTTTGTTCTTGTGTACCTCTCAGTGTTGATAGTTAGGTGGAGTTGCTTTGGGATTCTCAATACTGCTTCACTGTGTCTGTTGTTGTACCCACACTGCGATTTTGACTACTGTGACTACATAGTAGGTTTGGAGATAGGAAAGCGTAAAATCTATTTTGGTGTTTGTTTTTCTAGTAATATATTGCTTATTTAGAACTGTTTTCCTTTCTATATAACGTTGATGAGTTTTTCCATCTCTTTAAAGAATACTGATGGACAATACTGATGGTCGGGACTGAATTATATTTATTGATTACATTATTACTGATATTACTGATATTTGCACAATGTTAAAAGTTTCCGTATCTCCTTTGGTTACTTATAGTAGTAGTGTTTTGTAGTTTGTTTTATATGTCTTTTATGTCCCTAGTTAGATTTATTTCTAAGTATTTCATCTTTTGGCTGGCTACTGCAACTGGTATTGTTTTTCTGATTTCCTTTATAGTTCTTTTCGCTAGTGTAAAGGAATTAGACTTTTACATGATCTGGTACTGTGCCACTTTCAAAATCTTTTCACTGGTTTTTAGGAGTTTCTTGCAGTCTCTGAAATATCCTATGTATTAGTTCATATCATCTTCAAATAGGGGTTGTTATACTTCTTCCTTAGGAATTTGGATAGCTTCTATTCCTCTTTCTTACCTGTGCTCTCACTAGGGCTCTTAGTGCACTACGGAATGAGAATGGTGATAAAGGACATCCTTTTTTGGTTCCCGTTTTCAAGGAAAATATTGCCAGTCATCTCTGTTGAGAAAAATGTTGGGTCTTGGTTTCAAGTATATGCTTTTAATTATGTTTAGGGATTTTTACTTTTATACTTATTTTGCTGAGAGTTTTCGATCAAGAAAGGGTGCTAGATTTCTCGAATGCATTTCACTATTACATGTTTCTTTTCTTTTGCTTTATTTATGTGGTAGATTATTATGTTGATTGAATATCTAGTGTTGAACCATTCTTATATACATTGTATAAGTCACGATGTTTGAGGGGATACAGTATTGAATTCTACTTGTTGAATTTTGGTTTAGGATTTTGCATCTATTTTCATGAGGGATATTGGTTTATAATTTTCTTTTTAGTGGCATCTTTCTCTGGCTTTGATATCAGGGTTATACATGTTCCATAAATGGAATTTGGGATTATTCTATCACTTTCTATATTCTGGAATAGTCTTGGTAAAATCAGTGTTAGCTCTTCTTACAAAGTTTGGTAGAATCCACTATTGAGGCTGTCCAGGCTTGTTTGTTTGTTGTTGCTGTTGGGAGCTATTTTATGACTTCTTCAAATTCTCCTTTTGCTATGGGCTACTAAAAATTTCTAATTTCAGATGTGTTAATTTAGATAGGTAGTATGCTTTTAGAAACTTGCTTTTGTCTGGATTTTTTATTTTGTTAGGGTATAGTTTTTCATAGTTCAGTGATAACTCGGTTGTTGAACACAATTTGTTCCAAATTTGTGTTCGAACAACAAAATGTTCAAGAACTGAACTTATTTTCCCCATAAGAAATAATGGAAAACCAAATAATTGGTTCTAAAAGAGTCCCAAAAATACATTTATCAATTCATTTTTCCAGGACTTTAAATCATTAGGTAGGCTTTTAGCCTTCTTGCATGTCACTGTCTTAGATATGCTATCGCCATCAAATTGTTACTGTTTTATCAAAATTAACAATAACGTTTCAACCACTTCTATGGTCTGAGTTCTTTGGTGGTTAATGCTTCATACCTTTCACCACATTAGCTGCTTGAATCACGTATTTCCCACCCTTTCCAAATATCGACAATGTGGATAGCTATGTTGATTCAGCCACCAAATCAGACAGGCAGTAACCGATTTCAAATTTTACAATGATTTTTTTAACTTAATCATGGTTCTCACAGTTTTCCTCTTAGCTTTACTGCTGTGTTGGTATCACTAACTTTCTTCGGTGCCATGGTTACAAAGCACCATGACGAAGTTTTAATACACCAGCAGGAGAACTGTAAGCTGTGTGTGCCAGAGCAGCACTTAGACTGAAGCACCACCCCTTTGGTCAGAGGGGAGGCAGGAAGCAACATTTGACTGACTCGCTCTTGGTCCATACAGGTTTTTTCAAGTCAGATTTTGGTTCAACTATAGAGCAAAGTTAGAAACACCAAGCAGCTTTTAACTTTGCTGTCTGCGTAATGAAAAGTTTGAGCTTGCAGCTGTAAGACAATGGAGGCATCACTGTATTCTATTAGGATCTTTTTTTATTTCAGTTGGCTGTGTATGTTCAATGTTATTTGCATCTTCTCCCTCTTTTCCTTTGTGTTAACTTGGTCAGTGTTTGTTGATTTTTTTCCAGTGTTTATTGATTTTATTAATCCTTTCAAATAACTAATTTCTAGGAATGAAATTTTTAAAACAATTTTCTGTGATTTGGATGATGGTTTACAGAACAAATCAATTTCCAATTCAATAATTCACAATCACTTTGTTTCATGTCATTGTCTGTAATCCCTACAATATATATTGAGTTTAGTATGCCTTGCATCAACAGCAGTGTGTTAAAGTCCCGTGCTTTTATTATAGTGTTGTCTATTTCTCTAAAGCTTGTTTTAGGAATTTTGGAGCTCTTTCAGTGGGTGTATACTTATTATAGTCATGTTCCTTTGCTGAATCAACTCTTTAATCATTACATAATGCCCTTCCTCTTAAATAATGGTTTTTGCTTCAAAGTTTATTTTATCAGAAATTAATATTGCCACTCCTGTACTTCCTGTGTTTGCCTCATATGCTTTCCCCATCCTTTGAATTCTAGCTTAGTGTCCAAGGTATGTCTCCTGCAGACAGCTTATTGCTGGGCATTTTTACTTATCTATTTTACCGCCTGTCTCGTAACTGGTGCATCTGACTCATTTGCAGTCAGTGCATTTATAGGTATAAAGTTACTGTCGATTTTTTGTTCTGTATACTTTTCTATGCAGAGTTTGTGGATTTTCATTTTCCTTTGTTCCTGCGGACTTTGTGTTTATTGAGACTTATAAAAAGCCACACACAAAAAAATAAATTAAAAAGTCACTTACTACTAAAGGTTCCTGAATGCTTTTATGGCTTACTGAAAGATGGTAATTCCAAAGCAATAATGAAAAACATCTTAAAAGAAAAAATATTGCCAATATAATTTATGTAAGTCTCTAGAATTTGTACACTTAATTTAAATACCAACCAATAAAGGCAAAAGTAACTTAACCCCCTTTTAGATGACCGTAAGTACAAAGAGAAATAATTTTTCTATTTTAAATCAATGTTACCCAGGAATTCACTACTAGAATGTATATATCATATGGTCTTCAAATTCTCATCAAAAAAACCCTCACTTTCATTGAGTTGATTCAAATTTAGAACTCTTAACTTTTAATATGCAATCTACTACACAACCAGGGTTCCACATATTCTCATACAGTGAAATTTTATAGCATGTTAATGCACACTACTTTTTTTTTAAAGGATTTTTTTAAAGGATTTTAATAATGCAAAAATGAAGTAGTATTTTGAATTTACTTTTAAATTAAAAAAGACTTTTGTAACTACTGCTAATTCTAATTAAGGTACAACAGAAAGAAATGGGCTAGTGTCTTTACAAGCCTTTAAATAATGGAATTTCTTGGCAACATTTTCACTTAACAGCACAAGTTAATTGCCTAAATTTCAGTATCCAACACATGAACAAATGAATAATAAATAGTAAAAGTGTCAGCTAGTCTGTTAAGTATAATAGCCAAGATTACTAAAAGGAGAAAAAAATAACTGTTAATATCCAATAGGTCACTTAAGAGCATTGACAGCAGATATTCATGCTAAGGGTTCTACAGTGAATGTTAATACATTTTACAACCTGTGACTTGAATATGGCCTTTCTCATTTGACTAAAGTATCACAATCAAGCTATTCAGTTCAACTACACAGTCTGGCTGAACCATACAAAAACAAAAACGAAAAACACCGAATACCACTAAATGTTTATAGAAAGACTACCAAGCAGAGTGTTTACACTTAATCATTATGAACAATTTTTAATGAACAAATGATGGAATTTGTTTTGTAAGATATTTTTCTCTTTGTTTTTATCAAGCTTGATAAATATTCTGAATTTTAAAGGATTTATAATTACCCGTGATTTTTAACTAAACAGTTTTGCACTTGAGTTGTATGCTAATAGGTTTAGATAAAACAAAACTCACTGGATTTAATATATATTTCAGGATTCTTCAATGAAGAAATAGAGGAGGTATAAGTTAAGGATTAGACAAGCTTTCTTTCAAAGTAATTATTTAGTGACAAAAGTTAACAGACTGACTAATACAGTAACATATAACACCAACCCCCGCAAAAAAAAACAAACACCCCCAAGCCCTCCATACCTTTTGTCAGCAAGATCTGTTTTATTGCCTACTAACATGATGATAACATCACTTCCTCTTTCTGTTCTGACATCATCAATCCATTTTGTAGTTTGCTGGAATGAGTTAACATCTGGTACAGAAGGATGGACACAGATTAGTGCTACTGAAAATTTCTTACGTGATGGAACCCAACACCAAAAAGAGAGGCCAGGAAGTTGGAAGGGTTCCAGCACATCAGGACTCACTTTTAATGTGCCTGCAATATAATTCCATTTTATCTGATTACAACTGTCAGTGATCTAAAGAAATCACAAGGGAAAAATAATCTCAGTGCTCCTTTTATAATTGTTTTAAGTTTTCGATATGATCGAATGAGTGCAATATAGTATATACTTGAAAGAAAAAGAAAAAATCTTTTGTAAGGTAAGGACAGCTATGGCAGATAAGATGGTGTTACATTGACACAAAGCTTTTTTGATTGATCACTTATACATACCAAACATGACAAAGAAAGCATCTCCAGAAGTGTGTCAGCCAGTAAGTTCCAACACATCAAGAGATTTTGTAAACACCTTAAATAGCTTTGAACCCCACTGTTTGCACTGCTTACTTAGTTTGTGATCACTTTAACTTGAGGTTCATTTGTTTAGGTCACCACAACCACAACAAAACCCACCTTTTCTAGGGTGGGATTCTCAGCAGAGCACTTTACCACTTTTTATAGGAGCTAAAGAAAACAAGTTACTAATATTGTTTTAACCACATCTGTGTAAATTTTACAGAAAAATACTCTAGTTTTCACTTGCTTTGGTTAAAGTAAGCACAAACACTTTAAAGCTGCAAAACATGTCAACGCACAATGAACAGACTTAAAAAAAAAAAAAGTAGCACCCCAAAGTGAAGCTGCAAGAAAAGACTGCATATAGCACCTACCCAGAAAAATTGTTTTAAATACTCATATGACAAATTTATAACTTCTAATTTGGTCATGTGATTATTGCTAACTACTAGGTTTGACTTTTGATTGAGTAGATATATGCAAAAATGTAGTGATAGTATCATTAGCTCAAATCAACAGTACCTTTATTTTTAATGTCCTAAAAGCTGTCCTTAACATCACTGCCACCAAGTTGAGGATGACTCATAGTGACCCTGTAGGAAAGGGTAGAACTATCCCTGTTTCTGAGGCTAAAACCTTTTATTGTAGTAGAAAGCCCTGTCTTTCCTCCAGAAGCTGTACTATCCTGGTTTTAATATACATTATGGACTATTAAGTGTAATATTACTTAATGTATATAATAAGGCAATTTATGGACATGTTCAATTAGGGAGCATTTTTCTGTCAGTCACTAATGCTTCATGGAAAATTTAGTCACTTAAAATGACAAAGACATTATTCAGTCTTTGGAAAACAAAAAGGAGAAACCACTGCTTACATGGTTTTCTCTAGATTTCTTAGTGAGAGATGAAAACGTAATTTCTTTTCTTTTATTGGGGGCTCGTACAATACTTATCACAATCCATACATACATCCATTGTGTCAAGCACATTTGCACATTTGTTGCCATCATCATTCTCAAAACATCTGCTTTCCACTTGAGCCCCTGGCATCAGCTCCTCATTTTTCCCCTCCCTCTGAAAACATAACTTCTTAGTAACAAAGTTAATCAGTCTTAGTCATGGAGCCCACATATGATTCAAATGAAAATGATTAATAGAGAACTGTACATTATGTTTTCTCAGTCTTCCTCTACAGAAAGAAGATGGTAGGAAGCAGAGAAAAGCTAGTGGGAGTTTTTAATAGCCACAACAGAGGCTTTGAGAAATTTGGCAAGAGGCTTAAATGCAGACTGTTTTATTTTAGAAAAATCTGAGATCAAGTTAAATGAAAAAAGGAAACATTCCTTCTACTAGAATAAAGGAAGGTATGACTTGGTGGTAAAAGGATACTAGCAAGATTTGCAGATAATTCCTGATTGTACTTGAACAAAAATTTCTGGGAGAAAATAATCTAGCACAGTAGAAATTGAGCATGTTAGCACAGATGCCAAAGTAATTATTTCTGACCTGCTGGTCTATAAAGCTTGCTCTTATAAAACTCATTTTTACATGCCAATATGAAAAACAAGCACAAGACAAGAACATGCATGCAGCTAAGCTAAATGTTAAAGAAAATAAGAAAGCATAATTCCCCCCACTCACTTGTGATATCATATACAACAACTGCCACAGTGGAGTCACGAATGTAGCTAGGAATCAAGCTCCTGAACCGTTCTTGACCTGCTGTGTCCCATAATTGCAATCGTACCTAACAACAAAATCAGTCAAACAAGCAAGAAAAATAAGAGAGGTCAACCCATTGCAAAATACCTACTTGTGATATCGTAAACTACTACAGCTGCAGCAGAATCGCGGATGTAACTGGGAATGAGGCTACGGAAACGTTCCTGACCCGCAGTATCCCACAGCTGCAGCCTGATCTGTGGGATGGGAAAAAATAAATAAAAAACCCCCAAAACCCAAAACAAAAACAAAACTTAATATTAAAAAGAAAAAAAAAGAAATCAGGCTTTTAAAAAGGGAAGGGGATGGAGGGATGGAGGTAGAAAGGAGATTCATGCAAGAGGCCAAAGAGGCATGAAAAATAAAAATAACACAAAATTTTCCTTTTCAAAAAGGAGAATTTAAAAATGTTGCTTGCTCAGTCGACACATGACTGAAAAATGACACTGGAAAAGATTTCACATAGACAACATGGTTTCCCTTTCTTCTTCCCTATCACCTCTCTTTAAATCTCTATGCCTTCAAGAGGGTTTTAAAAAGTACTAGTTGGTATTCAAATAGTGAGAATGAGAGAAAAACATAAGTAAATGTCAATAAGCAGCCCAAGTTATTAGAATAAAGGAATTAATGCTTTTCAGAAAGTCTTTCTAAAGCTAAACGGGGTCAAGAACACTTTGAAATAGGGTGTCTGACTATTTTGCTTATATTCCACATACACATTTCTCCCCATTAATCCAACTCGCAGTGACTGTAGGAGTATGAGGACAACAAAGTAAACAAAAAAAGATAAAACATCTTTTTCCTTTTTTATATGCTTTATAGTTTTTATTTTCTTCCAAACCTTAGACTGAAGATGTTCAATTTACCATCTGCTTCTCTGGTGCCTCTTGGGCAAAACATCTTTCTGCAACTCTACATGAAATAATTACTTTTTTTCCTTAAAATTAAAATACGGATTTTATTAATATCAAATCAGAGAAGAGGTGGGGGTTTTTTTTTGGGGGGGGGGTTTATTAACTACCACGAAGTAATTGCTTTTTTACTTCATCAAAATGGGAGGAAAAAACACTGAAATCAATAAGGTGACCAGATTTTAACATTGGTAAAGCAAGACAAAAGCGGGACACCATTGATAAAACTCATATCCTGGCAAAATAGTCACATGGCAGCTGAAAACGTATACCCTAGCTTGTCATGCATTCTTTCCAAAAATCGGGACTTTTTAAAAACGCCGCGGGATGCAGGAAAAATTGTTAAAATCGGGACTGTCTCGTCAAAAGCGGGAGTCTGGTCACCTTAGAAATCAAGTATCACATTTTCTTACCATAAAGCAACTTGCCAGCTTTAAAAATTTTTTAAATGACATATTAAATCTAAAACACTAAAGAGAACATATGAAAGAATTAAAACCCACATGTTTAAGAGATACTTGGGTACAGAACCCAAGATTGTGTGTTTAATCTGTAATGGGTCATGAACTAGCCATTTTTCAAAGTATATGGAAATTACTTTGCCATTTAAAAGGATCATTCCAAAGTCAACCAATAAATACATTACTTCTTTCTATTCACAGTTTACATTGGTACACTGTGTATACACTGTATACCAGGAAATAATATCTTACGATTCACAAACTATATAATATTCAAATGAAATATTCCTGAAGCATAACATTAAAAGTTCTTCAACAGCTCTAATTTCTTCAGAAAATAACCCTTTAATTATCTCTTTACCCAATGTATTATCACGTTCCCAAATCAAGAAGACAAAATTCGTCTAAGAAGACTAGGGCCGTCAGAATTTGGAAACAATCTGGTTTTCTCTTTCCTTTGAATTTCACTTGGAGATAAGAAGTCAAAAATAAAATGTTCTCTGGACTCTGTAACAACATTTTACCTAGAAGCCTATAAACTTACTTTGATAACTTTGCTAATTACTTCTTACTATGATAACCACTAATTACCTCTTATATCAGAGTTTTCTACTTGAGTGTTACAGAAAATTCCACTCTAAAATTATTACTTACTGTTCGATCTTCCAAGTACATTGTTTTTGATAAAAAGTCAATGCCAATTGTTGCCTGAAAAAGAAAACAAAGCAAAGATGTTAACAAATATTAATATTTTAACCTCCCTTGCAGTCTAATTATGTCAGTAATTTTGTACCGAAAGCAGTACATTGCTTTGCATAAAATTTGTTGTTTTGTATTGTAGGTCTGTAATTCTTAAGAAAGTACTCATTCTTCCCCCGAGGCTGCTCCGGCTATCGTGGCCAGGTTTGCCCCCACAAGGACCATGAAGCGGGCTGAGGTGAGCAATGCTACCATGGAAAAAAAAAGAAAGTACTCATTTTAATCTCTCTAGTAGACATTCCAGGCATGATAAATTTAATACATAAAATCATAAATTATAATATAATAAATATAAAAATAACATTTTTTCAATAATGTAATCAAATAAAAAACACTGCAATTTTTCAAAAAGGGCGCAACATTAAGGGTGCATTCAAGAAAAATCTTGAGTGTGAAAAATTGTGAAACACGGGACTGCACAAAGTCCGATGTCACAATCAGGACAATGGAACCTGGTTTCCTTTCGTATTCTCTTTCCATTGCCATTTTGCTTTGAGCAACAAACCACACACATCCTTGTAGGTGCTCACATTTTTCGGTTGGTGGAATATAGTCCATGAAGTGACGACCAGTCAGGCGTTCTGGGTTGACAAAGTCAACAGCGCGACGTCCAGGTCTATTCACAGCCATTGATGGTGTGTGGTGGTTCACAAAGATCCTTTCAGCAACTTTCCAAATGAAGTCAGAATGAACCAAAGGCTTGTCACTCTTTGCTCTGTGCAAAATGTAGGCATTCCACAGCATTGCTCGAGAAGATACCTGAAGATCTTCTTGTAGTATTTCGTTTGCTGTGCCCACATTGCTGGGTAGACTGTAAGTGCTTGGTCGGCTGTGTCAACATCTCCCGTGGTTTTATGTAATCTATCACTACTTGTGGCTTCATGACTTCTTTCCCACCTTTCATGCATACCATAACAGTTGAGGTATTATGAACTGTACTCATTAGGCACACATCTCTCTTGTCACATGATCGCAGTGCCATCGTCTTGCCTCTCTGCCAGGCAACCATTTCTCCAGTTTTTAGCTTCTTCTTGCCAAACATCGCTGGCATGTCACGCCGGTTAGCCCTGATGGTTCCATAGGAATAGGTTTTGTTTTTTATAAGAAACTCAAAGTTCAGGGGATGTATAAAAGTTGTCAGTTGTAACGCATTAGCCCTGATTTAGCCCTGATTTAGCAATGACTCAATGAGTGTTAGAACAGATGTTGCCATTCCATAGTCGCTGTACTTTGGATTGAATTTTGTGCCTTTTCCACTGTGTATGACCGAATTCCAAATGTAGCCAGTTGACGATTCATAGAGCATATAGGATTTTATGCCAAATCGTGCTTTCTTTGATGCAATGCATTGTATCCAGCTGAGCCGTCCTTTATAGGCCACTAGACTTTCATCTATGCTGATATCTTTCTGGCACATAGGTCTGCTGAAAATTCTTTCCAATCATTTGCGATACTTCCCAAATTTTCTTTAGTTTTGGTGCAGGATGTGTACTTTCATCAAATTCTTCATTGTGAAGTGAAAAAATGTCATAATCAGGGAAAGTCTGTATTCTGACATAATGGTGGCCAAAAAATGGAGCTGCAAGTAATTCATTGGTGGTCCAATACCATTTCCACAGGGGTTTCCCCACCACTCCCTGAAGTATTATTCCGCCCAGACATTTCCAAATGTCATCTTCGGTCACTGGTTCCCACTTCCTGCTTCTTGAAAACTTATGAAACATAGTAGCAGATTGTTGCTCTTTGTACTGGTTTGTCTCCATAACAATTTTTCAATGACCTCATCGGTCAGAAATAATTGTAGGTAGGACAAAGTGTTGTTGGGGTCAACGTCTACTTTCATACCAAGTGCTCCAGTAAACGGGAATCTTGGGGGGGGCTGCTTGATCCATACCGCAGACAACAGAGCACCAAGTTCGCACATCGCTGAGCTCAGGTGCAGAATCGTCACTGTCATCACTAATCTGATCAGTGTTCAGCGTTGGATGATGAATTTCCCCATGAACCGCTATCACTCAATTCTGTGAGTAATTCTAAGTCATTGTCTTTGTCATTTATCTGATCTAAAACTCCTTTTTGCTAAAGTGGCACTTTTTTGATGCCATGGACAAAAAATTTTCCAAATGGCAGTAAAAGGGCAGGCAGGGCCCTGGAGACTGATCTAGGGTCAAATCTGAGGTGATTTGCTTGGATACAATGTAATCCTCACAAGTTACAGTGTGTGTGTGTGGGGGGGGGGTGGTGATGAGGGTGGTGTGTGTGTGTGTGTGTCTTTTAGACTTGCAGTTTTTAATTTCCCGCCCAGTTCCACCCCCGTGCGGTGACATTGCCCACAGAGAACGGATCAGAAGGGACGAGGAAGTCAGATCGCAGTGTAATCTCTGCAGTGTAACCCCGAGTGTGGTTTGGGGTTACCGCTTCTGACAGTTAACATTTACCCCGAGCCCCACTAGGGATTACCGACAGGGAGGTTAATGGTGGTCAGCAGTTTAGGGTTAAAATGGAAATTAAGTATGAAGAAACATAAAAATACATCAAGGTAAGAAAGAACAAAATTTTTAGTCATAATGGCTTCCCATCTATTGAACACCTACTTTGTGTTAGTGACTGTTCTAGGGCCTTCACATAACCATCTTTATTCCTATCTTATTTGGAGGGACCAATCCCTGGAGAAGGACATCATGCTTGGTAAAGCCGAGAACCAGAGAAAACACTAAGACTCAAGATGATTCAACACAGTGGCTGCAACAATTAGCCCAAACATAAAAACATTGTGAGGATGGTGTAAGACAAGGCAGTTGTACATATTTTTGTCATTTTAGTACATATGGTTGCTATGACAACATCTAATAACAAAAACCTTTGTATATCACTCCAAGACAACCATCATCATCCCAACTTTTAACGGGATAAAAAACAGGAATAAGAAATTTGAAATTCATTGATGCCAACTAACTGGTCTAATATCAGCCATACAACTTTTGTTTGTACATTTGAGATTGCATATGACCAAAGTTTTGGGGTTTTTTTTTTTCAGTAAGATGATTTTTTAAAAATTAATTTTCTTTTTCATTTATTTTTGAGAATATACACAGCAGAATACATTCGCTGAACACTTTCTATATGTATAATTCAGTTATATAGATTACATTCTTCGAGCCAGGCAAAAATTCTCTCCATTTCTGAGTTATCCTTCCCCAATAACATAATTGATCCCATAGAAGTAGATTTTAAAAGAGCACAGTGGTCAAGGCAGACACCTTACCTGTTAGGCTAAACGATTGTTTGGCTTTAAGAAGACTTCAAAGAATATTTTTGTTTAAGGTTTAAGGATTATTTGGTTTAAGGTTTAAACATTATCATAGTTTCAAGGGTTCACTCATCCTCCATGATTGCAGAAAACAGAAATTCATGAAAATTTGAAATTGTTTCACATTTCCTCCCTTTTGAGCAGGATTCCTCTCTGGAATCTTTGGTCAAAATGTTCGCTAATGTTAGCCAGGCACAATCCAGTTCTTTTAGTGTCATAGCCAAAAAAAAAAAGGAATTGTTCATGGAGGCAATTAACCATATACTCCTTTAATCCCTAATTCCTGACTCTCCTTCCAATGCTCGATGAATAGACCAATTATTGTGCCATTGATAGCCACTGGCAAGTTTTTAAGAACTGAAGCGTTGTGCAATGAATGAGGTGGAATATAAGCCCTAAACATGTTAGTAGACCACTCTCCCATGAAACCATAATACTAAACCTCCAAGGCTGGTTATACACAAGCACCCTGAGTAGTGTTGTCGTGAGAGGGAAAAATCAAAAAGCATTACAAGGGTTCCAGTTCAACAAATTTTTTGTTCTCTTAATTCAAGGTTATGAACAGATGCTCCTAAACATCTAAAACCAAACTCTTAACCCCCTTTGAAAAACTGTTCCCGTCTCTACTCATTCTTACTTAAGTTAAAGTTAAAATACTACATATTTATATTTCTGCTGGGTAAAAACCTACTAGTCATTCTTGATATTCTTCTCCCTTCCTCACCCTACCTCCTTCTAACAAATCAGCAAATCCTATTGGCTCATGTTCTTACTCCTGTCTACCTTACAGTCTAATCACTACATATAAGCATTTTTTGCTGACCATCTACTTTACCAAGCATGTCCCTATGAGCACTATGACTTGGGGTAGGCATACCTCAGGGCTTTATAGCAGATTTCTCAAAAAGCAATATTGCATCATTTGATATCCTGACTCCTGCTTCCATAGGTGTCAAAGGTAGACACCTTGAGCATAAAGTCCTTGTCAACTTCACTTTTTCTTTTTAATGTTGCTGTTTATTGCCAGTTGTGAGGATTTTTCTTTTTATTGAGGTTAAAATCCATGTTAAAGGCTGTAATCTTTGATCTTCACTAGTCAGAGTCATGTCATCTAACCCGTTATTAATGAGACTTCCTCTTCAAACCTAAAGCTGTGTTATTCAAGCTGCGTTCTTCATATAGTCCAGTTTCTCGGATTATTTGCTCAGAATACAGATTTAGTAAGAATGGCGAAAGGTTATAACCCTGACACACACCTTTCCTAATTTTAAACCACATAGTATCCCCTAGCTCTGTTCAAATGACTGCCTTTGGCGTGGGTTCCACATGAGCACAAGTATTTTGGAATTGCCAGTCTTCACAATGTTATCCCTAATTTATTAGGAATCATATAATTACATGTATAGTCAATGAAACAAAGAAAAACATCTTTCTGATATTCTTTGCTTTCAGCCAAGATTCATCTTATATCAGCAACAATATCCCTCATCCCATGTCCTCTTCTAAATCCAGTTTGAATTTCAGGCAGCTCCCTGCAATCATTTCTGAAATATTTTCAATAAATTTTATGTGTGTAATATTACTAATACTGTTCATAATTTCCATACTGTTGGATCACCCTTTTCTGAAATGAGCATAA